ACACAAACATCTTATTCACCTGAGTACATTACACCAATAACACAGCAGATTTCATAAATATTAGATTACACTGATATCGAAGGAACTAGACTCAGTTCCGAAATATCGCTTACTCGAACCGTCCTGACCGCGTAGCTCAGTTGGAAGAGCATTCGGCTAGTATTCCAAAGGTCGTAGGTTCGAATCCCGCCGTGGCCAGGCATGTTTTTCAAGCCTGCCCGGTGTGGATATGCACTCAGAGTAACATCACACAAACAATTTAGTTATTGTCACATAAAAGAACACATAGTAGAGTAAAACCTTATATGAATATCATATCTGTAAAGAATTCAGATATTCAAGTACTTCAGCAAGACATAAAAGAACACATAGTGGAGACAAACTTTATGATCAATCTCATGTTTGTCATTAACCAGGGATGGATCCAGCATGATCTGGTAGGGGGGGGGGTGCTCTACCAGCTCTGGTGCCGAGTTGTGTCGGTCATGTGTGCCGCCCACCCATCAACCTGCTTCACTACTGCAAAATCTTGCTTGACTACTGTATTTGAATTGTAATTGTTGTTCACAGTTCGCTTATCATCATGTTATTACTCAAATTACTGTATCTTATTGTGCCTCTAATAATTTTTTGCTTTATCATGAAAAATAGCACCCCCCCTCTGGCCAGGGCTAGGAGGTGCACCCCCACCCCCCAGTAAATCTATATCCCTGTCATTAACAGTAGGGTGTAATTTGGACTAAGCCATCCTCTTTAATGTGTTTCTTTAGTTGGGAGAGGAGTTCTAAGGCCCTTCATAAGTTTTGAAGATTACATTACATAATACAATATTAATTTTACTCATTGCAAACAGTAAGCTACAAATGAGCTTTGTATTCCATAGACTGCAAAGTATTTAACTATTTCTAGGTAAAGTTAGATTTTAAGTTGTTTTTAAGAAGTTAAAGCTGATCACATAATCAATCTATTTTTTGGGTCAAGGATATACCCTGCAAAAATAGCACTTTCCATTTATTTTACAACTTGAAATTCACATTCTATTAGACACTAGGGGCATATGGCAGGACTGAAAATTACTGTCGGAGATCGGACAATGTCCGACTAAATTTGGCAAATGTCCGAGCAAAAGTAATTTTGATCGGACATTGGTCCGATCACAAAAAAAATTCTACATTATACATTTTTTTTGCTGTGACAATTAAAATCCAATTGCAAATTCACTCAATTTGCATTTTGCAATAAAATTTACCAGGCATTCTAGCATTTTACTTAACGTTGCGCCAGAATGGCTATACATACTTGTCTCGTGACTTATATTATACTTATATTATATCTTGTGACGCGTATATGTCCGATCAAATGTAGCGATGTTGGTTTTTGTCCGACCAAAGTCAAGTTATGTCCGACCAAAATTAAAAATGATCGGACAACGATGGGGTACTCATTTCCCAGAATCTTAATTATGGGTTTTAAGGATGAAGTCTCAGTGCTCCCTGTGAAGGGCCCCCTTGACCCAGGGCTGTCCTCAGGGAATTCTTCAGGGGGGTGTAAAGTCATTTCCACCGACTGACAAACAGGGCCGCCGAGAGGTTGACGGGAGCCCAGACAAGAAATTTTTTTTCAGAGACCAACAGACTCCCCCCCTCCCCACCCATCGACAACTTTTTAGGGGAAAAAATTTTCCGGACAAGAATGTTGCAAATGCTTTCCAGTGACTTTACCTCAATTTTTCATACCAAAATTCGGAAATTTACTCAAAAAACCCAAATAAAGATCCCTTTGCACAAAAATATTTAACCCAAATAGCAGTCCTGCCAACTGAATAAAATTTCTGGGGGTGTCCCCCCCCCCCGTATCTCCGGCCCTACCTTGACCTACTGTTCAGAGTGTTAACAGGGAGGGCTTTTAATGGACCTTTCACCTTTTGACTAAAATTTAGATCTCAACAAGTCTAGACAAAAATTTTATCACAGCTTAAAAGAGCATCACAAAATTAGTAATATTCCAAAGTTTCATTGCGAAATGTTGTAAAATGCGGATAATATATCCTTGCGAAGTTTGCTATTTTCAGTCATTTTGTATTACGCGCAGGAAATACATACCCTTTTTCCGAAGGAGGTATGTATTTCCCGTTTGTAATACAAAATGACTGAAAATTGCAAACTTTGCAAGGCTATATTATCCGCATTTTACGACATTTCGCAATGAAACTTCGGAATATTACTAATTTTGTGATGCTCTTTCAAGCTGTGATAAAATTTTTGTCTAGACTTGTTGAAATCTAAATTTTAGTCAAAAGGTGAAAGGTCCATTAAGCTAAAAAAATTTTTAAAAATATTAATTAATTAAATAATATTAATTAATAATTATTATTATTTATTATTAATTTGTTTATAATAATTATTATTAATTTAATTAATTAATTATTAATTTAATTTATTAATTAAATTAATTATTTAAATTAAAATTTCCAAACACTGCATAAAGGTTAGCCCAGGGACCTTCCTTGACAAGGCACCCCCCCTGGGCCCCTGGCTCTTGCCGGGCACAGCCCTTATGCCACTGAGGAGTAACATCTGACCATTATTCCAGCCGGCTTGCTGTACTACTTTCTATTTACTTGAACATAAAATATCATAGTAGAAGAGCTAATTCAATCATAAAATGTTGAGTTCATAAACCATGATATGCAGGGCAAAGGTACAGAAACGTCTAGTGGCAAGGGTTGACCAGAGGGTGGGTACAATTGCATCTGACTGATTTCCCAATGAGTATGGAATACTCAGGGTTACCAAGTTAATTGATCTTGTGGAATTTTATGTGTATTATGTCTACAATGCCAATGGAGAAAGTGCATTACCACTTGCAATCTAGAGCATTGATTTATTTTTCACAATTCTGCAAACTATTAATGACATTAATGGCAGCTGGCAATGTCACATGCCACACAAGGCCGTCAGAAGCGGGGGGCTTGAGCCCCCCCCCCCTATAATTTCCATTTGTATAAGCAAAACACACAAAATAACTAGAAAAGTGCAAAAGCAATTAAAATTTATTCAGATATATTCTTGAGTCCCCCCAATATTGATTTATTTCCGATGGCCTTGTAACGTCCTGCCCAGATTTTTTTAAATTCAATAAGGCCCCCCTTTTGATTTTTACACTCCCCTGTTGGCCAAGGGTGTGTACCTCTGTCAACCTCCTCCCCTCTCCCTCTAAACCCAACTGTATGCTGGGCTGGATTTACTGGGGGGGTGCACCCCCCTAGCCCTGGTCAGGAGGAGTGCTATTTTTCATGATAAAGCAAAAAAATATTTTAGAGACAAAATGAGATATAGTCATTTGAGTGATATTGATAACATGATAAGAAGCGAACTGTGAACAACAATTACAATTCAAATACAGTAGTCAAGCAAGACTTGACTTGTAAGTTGATGGGCGGGTGGCATGCATGACAAACATAACTCGGCATTAGAGCTGGCAGATCAAACCCCCTTCCCCCCCTACCAGATCATGCTGGATCCATCCCTGCCACCATGACTGTTAGTGTTGGTGCTAATTAAACAGTGCAATCTTGAACGGTCTGTGCCAGGCTAGATAGAGACGATAACAAGATAACTGCAGATTTCGACAGATAGAACTTAGTACCTGAAAAATTCAAACAGAACTTCACTCGAAAAGTCAATAATTTGTACATTCCGCATGGATGTTCAAGCTCTGTGGATTATGGAATATAAACTAGGCTGTTATTACAATTTTCAAAATTGAAGTTGAAACTATAATTAACAAAAGTTCAGTGTCAAAAATTTCTTATCTTGGCCAATCTATTTTTGACTTTTAAAGCATAATTCACTGAAACATATAGATATTAATATACATCATAAACTTTTAGTCTTTTATATTAAACAATGTTTGAAAAAAATTCTGTCATAAAATCTTTTTTCAGATTAATCAGATAAAGAGTAAGATACCTGGCATTTCAGAATCTAAGTTCTACCAACCAAAAAGAATAAAAAGATCAAAAAACAACAATAGAAATTATAGAATACTTCACTCCTTAGATTGGCGCCATATTGAATTTCGCGGCCGCGCTGGTTAAGGCCTGGGGACTAGGTGCTCTACAGTGAACTCTAACTGGAAGGCTAACTCAGTGAACTCTAATAATAACTGGAAGGCTAACTCCTATGATCAAAGTCTATGATTCGTTGAAGCCGGCGCGCGGGAAAATCAGCTTTCAAAAGGACTAAGGAGAGTTTCGAGGAGTGAAAAAAATTCTGTCAAAAGTTTGTTTTCGAGCAAAAATTTGCAAGAAAAACACTTTTCCCATGGGAATACAACAATGACTTGGGATTTAAACCAAGTTTCCGATTAGTTCCGACTGTTTTACATCTCTCTGCAGCAAAAAGTAAGGAATTTTGCTTTTGTATTTTGAAAAAATGACGAAAGTTTGGATGTGCCGAAGGAAATCTCGCCGTTCAACTAAAAAATATATACTATAAAACATTTTGACAGTCCCAAAACTTATGTTGTACTAAACCCCAGGTATTGTTATTGATCCTGAGCTTTTAGTCCTTGTTTTAGTCGCTCTTAAACATAAATAAATTGGCGTTTTTCAAGTGATGTTATTTTCGTCATCGGCATCTTGTTGGCCACTATGAGCACTTTGAATATGGCAATATTTTTGTCAATTTTCAAATGCTTTTTTTTCGACCTTAAAACGTTAAATCTTCTTGAAATTTCGCATACAGATGTATTTTGCATGGGTATAAAAAATTCCTGAGGTATGACGTCTCAGTTTTATCTTAAACTTCCAAAAACTCAGAAAAAGCAGCCTAAAACGCGCGGTTTTTCAGACCGTTCATGCTTATGGCCGTGTTTTTTCGTATTTTTTTGCTAATACGTGATTTGTTTGCTTTGCGAATATTAAATTCATTTATAATACTACTGATATAAATTAAATTTGGTAGTATAACTAATATTTTGGGGCAAGATTTTTCTGATCCAAAAATGTGCATATTTTGAAAAAAAAAATTAAAAAGGACTGGGTCTACCTACAAAAAAAGCTTCAAGCACGGCTTCAACTTCCCCCCCTGACTTAGTCTTCCAGTTATTATTAGAGTTCACTGGGCTACCCTAATCTACGAATCTGCGAATGTTTCCGAACAATCTACGAATGTTTCCGAACTGTTTACGATATAAAAACATTAAAAAGGTTTGATCATTCGGCTCAAATACTCAATGTATTTGTTTATCGTACGCTTTCTTTTGTTGGAATAAAAATATTCTCCGCAAAAAATTGCAAATTTCGAGCTTCGAAGAAAGTTTCTTCGGTATTAAGGTAAGCGTTTTGAATTTTTATAGTATATACAGTCCCGAGAACACGTGTAAAATATATTCTGGCATTTTACACGTGTAAAATATATTCTTTTCAAATTTATATTCCGGCCTCATTCCAGGCGTACTTTATAATCGATGAAATCGATAATCGATGAGTATCGATATGAATCAATACCAATCGATATTTGTTAATCGATTGGTATTGGAAATCGATGAATAATCGATGGCTTGTTTTGATGTGTCTTTCATCAATGGACCTTTAACCTTATAACTAAAATTTTGATCTAGACAAAAATTTCATCACAGCTTGAAAGAGCATCACAAAATTAGTAATATTCCAACGTCTCGTTACGAAATGTTGTAAAATGCGGATAATATAGCCCTGCGAAGTTTGCAATTTTCAGTCATTTTCATTTTAGATTACAAACGGGAAATTGATACCCAAATGGGTTGGGTATCAATTTCTCGTTTGTAATCTAAAATGACTGAAAATTGCAAACTTCTCAAGGCTGTATTATCCGCATTTTACAACATTTCGCAACGAAACTTCGGAATATTACTAATTTTGTGATGCTCTTTCAAGCTGTGATGAAATTTTTGTCTAGACTTGTCTAGATCAAAATTTTAGTTATAAGGTTAATGCAGGTATCAGCGGCTTTCCTGGGGGGTTGACCCCCGGGCAACTCACGGGAAACCCCCGGGCATGGCATGGAATTTGTTTTAAAATCACGCCCCGGAGACCCGGGATTTAGCCTACATTTGTATTTTGAAAATTAACCCCGGGGGCAAACGCCCGGGATTTGCATATGGACTGCTGCTATATCGGTCAGCGGTGATTCATCAAAAAATTCTTAATTATAATTTTTGAAGACGCTTCGAACCTTCGAAGTTCGAAGCAAATTCGAAGCATTTCGAAGCACATGAACAATATACCGTTGATTGCAACTATAAAGCAGAAACATGTCATGAGAAAACGCGTCCAATTGGCTGTCAAACATGATTTGTTTGGACTTGAAATTTGGATTTGAAATATTGACACTCACAGTCAACTGTCAATATTTCAAATTTAGAAACACATTCATATTGGGCGGGGATTAGCTTGCAAACACTAAATCCGTGATTAAATTCGTCTGAATTAAATTTGACGTATGAAACAGGCCTTATATTTTGTGTTTATAGTGGACAAATTCAGTATTGCGGTTTGCAATGTTTGTACTAACTTTGTTACGTTTTCGCGGAAAAAAATAATTGTAAACTGTCAAATGTTTCCAGCAAAATCATGTAAAGATTGAAGTCCAAACATGTTATGTTTCATGTCCAATTAGCCTGCGTAGCCGGCAGTTTTAAGGGTTGGGATTGAGGCGCGGGCAACGAAAATTAGGGAGGCGAGGCAAACCGCTGGCTACGCAAGCTATGTCCAATTTATAGATCGCGTTTTCTCTGCCTCGTACCCAGGCGTTTTGGTTTGTACACGTGGGACGGCACGCGTCCCACGCAAAGGCCACGCGAGCAATAGAACAACATACCGCCTGGGTACGAGGCAGGCTTTTTCTCATGACGCGTTTCCGCTTAGTAGCAATCGATGTTGTCGATGGTAGGCGAGTGTAATTTAATCCTTTTATTTATAAATGAATAATTAGCCATCTATCCTCAATAAAAGTTGGAAACACCAGAATAATTGTTTGAAACTATAAAGGACACAAACTTTTTAAACGTTTTGTATCGGATACTGATTTATTAAATAGGTTAAAATAGCAAACGTATTAATAACAAATGCCGTCCCGATATAAAATTGTGTATGAATTTTTAGTTCAAAAATATCTTTTTTACGGCCTACGCTTCATTGTTTATTGAACGAGATGCCCAAAATTATGTTAATAAGTATATTAACTTACTACAAATTTCTTTGTAAATAACCATTTGTAGTATATTTGAAATTATTGTTTTCCAAATTTCGCCCCGGAGGTAGGGGCATTTGTGACAAAATTTTGCCCCAACCCACGGGCATTAGTGTCCTTTTGTCAAGGCTGTTTTGACAAATCCCCGGGGTGGCCCGGGGGTCGACCCCCCGGGAAAGCCGCTGATACCTGCATAAATGTCCATTGATCATCGATTTTTGTTGCATGCCATATATGGCATGCAACTTTCATATAGCTCTAAATTTCGTGTCGTGTTCGGTGAGCGGTGGTCGATGAGCGGTGAGCGGTGAGCGGTGAGCGGTGAGCGTACCGGTCACGTGGCAGATTCGTAAAATGCGACAAATACCGAGCTTTTCCGACGAACATTTACGAACATATATATATAGCATAATTAAGAACAACTGATCATGTGATGTGAAACCAAACTTCATGCACATTTTCGTCGATTCTTGGCCGAATATTTTACACAATCGAGCGCTTTTAGAAGACCTTAGAAGGTAGGTAAAGCTTTGCTGTTTTTAATTTACCTTATATTCTGTTATCTGTTGTGATTTTGGAGCCTTTGTGCTCGCACTGATTATTTATCAGGCGTTATTATATATAGCGTGAAAGGCCACGCTATCAAAATACTCAATTTTATACTCAAACTGAAACGGAGCCATTGTGCTCGCACTGATTATTTATCAGGGCGCTATTATTGTGAAAGGCCACGCTCTCAAAATACTCAAATTGAAACGGAGCCATTGTGCTCGCACTGATTATTTATCAGGGCGCTATTAGCGTGAAAGGCCACGCTCTCAAAATACTCAAATTGAAACGGAGCCATTGCCCTTACCAAACTGACATATATGTAAAATGTCTGCAAGTATCTGTCATATATCTGTTGCAGTACTGCAGCATATCTGCAACAAGATCTACAATATCTGCAAAATATCTGCATAAAAGTTGCAGATATTTTGCAGATATGTTGATTATCTGTCAACATATCTGCAAAATATCTGCATAAAAGTTGCAGATATTCTGCAGATATGTTGATTATCTGTCAACATATCTGCAAAATATCTGCATAAAAGTTGCAGATATTTGCAGATATGTCAATTGTCTGTCAAAATATCTGCAAAATATCTGCATAAAAATCGCAGATATATGTAGATATGCCAATTGTCTGTCAATATACAGGTATCTCAACTACACAGTAAAAAATAATTTCTTATTGAGAAAACAATTCTTACTGCAAGAAAATATTTGTTGAAGAACATTTTTTGAAATAAGAAAAATTCTCTTAACATATCTTAAATTACATTTGTTTTCTTGAAATATGAATGTTTTCGTACGATTTTGTCATCTTCATATCAAATCATTTTCTTAACAAAATTTTTAAAACAAGAAATCAAATTCTTATTAACATAAGAAATAATGGTTAATAATAAATTATTTCTTACTTATTTTCTCGAAGAACGAAAATAAATTTGTTAAAATTTAAATATAACATCTTTTGCAATTTTTGCATTTTTTTTCCAAAATGATATATTTTTCCTCAATATCCTTTAAAAAAAAAGATGTGAAATGTCATCCTGGATTTAGATTCTATATGGGTTAGTATATTCACTTTAACTGTAATTAGCCTTTTCTCAAAAGAGATCACAGTGCATATTCTGGGGTCATTTGGAGGGACAAAATATATGGAGACAGGCATCAAATATGTGAAAGAGTAGAAGTATCTACTATCAAATATCAACTTTTTACATGACCAAAAATGAAATATCTCCATTTTACATTAAATTTTAATTTAAACGTGTGCTGCCATATTACTTGTCCCTTCAACAAAGAATTTGTGCGACTAGACCCAGGACTTTGGGAATAGCTAATTAAATATACAAATTCTCTTCTATCATATTTATCTTTGTTAATTAATTTGTTATTAAAGTAAATTTGGGACAAAAATATTGTGTTTTATTTTGTATTAAAATGCTACATTTGCCCCTTTAGCAAAGGAGACCTTGCCCCACCCCCTTTCCATCATCCCTGATACCATATAACTACATTCTAATTTAATTTCTAAAGTTGAGTTCTTTCCATGTTTTACTGCTATTTGGAGATGAGCTCGCCGCGCGCCGAATTTTCGAACGTTTTTTCATGTGTCAACAAACAGTTGATTGGCTTCCAACGCCACGTTTTTCATGTGTCAACAAACAGTTGATTGGCTTCCAACGCCACGTTGGCGCGGCGCCAACGCTACGTTGAGGCAGTGAATATTACGGCTTTTTTCGAAAATAATATCTATAAAACTGAGCTTGAAAGTTGAAAAAATACTTGTCAATCGAAAAAGGAAACCTTTGACATTGTATTTAATATTGCCAAGTTTTTATGGCCAAATCAAACAACCAACAAGGCTACAAAACGTCTATACAACACCAAAATCGTAAGAAATATGAGACTATTGTTGAAGAAATAAGATTATAACTCACTCAGGTAATGTAGCCTTCGTTTTTTAAACTTGTAAGCTGCTTGCAGAATGTTATCAAGCCACAGCCATCGTTCATATTTTTCTGTACGAATCAATAACATTTGACGTTCTCTGGTGATTTTTTACCTGTTGTTTTCTTTCATATTAACGTCAAATTCGAAAAATTATCATAGTTGTCTTGATTTTCACGAAATAACCTTTATATTGACGTTAAAATCTCAGTAAAATACTGTTTTTCGCTTCTGGATAAACACTGTCACTACCGGTTGTCATTTTTTCCACACAAAAACGGGGGAAAAACTGGTCGCTTTTATAATATACTCGTTTACCGCTTTCGTTGTGGGCACAAAGTCTTAAAATACACACAAAAATCATTATAAATCGAAAAAAAACCCAACAAGAAACAAGCCGTTAAAGTCGATATAATAGCGTCTGAATTTGGCTTGTCAAGCAGTTTTCCGCTTGATTCACCGCGTTTCTTCCCCGTATCCAAGGATATGATGCCTTGTCACGATTTATGATAAAGGTCTACAAAATTTCAAAATACAGTACCCAACTTACAAATAAAAATACTGGTAATATTTAAGAATTGATTACTGCAATTTTATTTCAGCATGTTTGAGTTGAAAGTTTTGTTCATCGATTTTCGACAATCATCTATTTATAGGCGTTAGGCAACGTAGACGTAGTGTTGGCGC